GGGCTCGGGGACGGACGCTCAGGGACGAGAGGGTCCTGACTTGACCTCCCCCTGACCCACCCTGGACCCCATCTCGGTCCCCGTCCCGCCCACGCCTCCCTCCTCCCCCCGCCGTGGGGTCGTACAGGAATCCGAGCCTCCCAGTAGCTGGTGCCACCCGACTCCGAGTCCCAGGGGGGAACCGAGAGGCGATGGTGGATGGGGACCCTAGAGAGGGCCATGAGGAGGCCAATCAGCCCACAGTAGCGGACAGCGTTGTCCACCCACCATGGGGACAGGCGCCTGGACCGCCCCACGCTGGCGGGTCTCTCCCCCGGGAGACCGCCAGATGACGTGGGAAGTGGCGACCTTACAAAGCGACATAGCGGTTGTTGGCCGCCCCCCCCTCCTCCTGTGTCAATTCAAATGTGATTGCGGTTTTCGGCTGCGCCTCCCTTCCTCCTCTTCCTCCTCCTGACGGAAATGTGAGCACTGCGGCTGTTGGTTGCACCCCCGATCGTGGCCGGTACCTGCGGTTGCAGTCTGCCGGCCCTTGGGCCAGCGTGTCCTCTCTCATCGTTGCTGCCCCGACCAGGCACTGGTTTCGGATACGATGACGGCACACCGGCCCCCCCCCGGGGCAGCGGTGCGGCCCGCGGAGTGAATGCTCTGTTGGTACTTGCCGTCCCCCGGCTCTCTCTGTGGTCAGATTCAGCCCTGACTACACCCCAGCGCCTATGTGCTGGCCGCGACTGCAGCGTACCTCGGCGTCCTTCGGCCGTTACCCGCTTACCGGCAGTACTGGCGCTTGGGCCTGCGCGTGCGTACGGCGGTGGTACCTCGCACTGAGTGGTTCAGCCTTCAGCGTGTCGCTTCGGTACTGCCTGCCTTCCCACCAGCGTCCCCACCAGTTTGCCCGTGACTGGTTTCGGAACGATGGCTGACGCACCGGCCCCACCATGGGCAGCGGTGTGGATCGTGGAGTGAGAGCTCTGTAGGTCCCTGCCCTGTCTTTGCCGACCCCGCGTACGGCGGTGGTACCACGCGCTGTGTGGTTCGCTTCAGCGCGTCGCTCCGGTGCTACTTGTCTAATCGGCTAGGCTGGCTGCGAGGATTGGCGCCGACAAGGCGACTCGTCCGCAGCGTATAATCGAGCATTTTGCTTTTTGCATGTGCACATTCGCTTTCTTGCGGATCCACGCATCTCGTGTTATTCGCCTATCATTGCATGTCCTATACTGCAGGTGTTCCTGTTGTAGTTTTGCGAGCTGGCTTGCCGACACTGGCGGCCGTGTTCGCAAATTCGCACCGTTCCGCCGCCCCAGACGTCGCTCCCGCTCCCTGGCCGTCGCCTTGGAGCCGCCAGCCAAAAAAGTAACCCCATCAGTGCTCCCCAGCTGCCGCTTCTGAGCGCTGGCCAGGGCGGCTCGCGTGGCGCCGAGTAGCTAATTAGGCTGGCCCGTGACCCGGACCCCTTTTCGCCGCCTGCCCTCTGCTGCGCGGTCGCAACCAAAAAGTAGCCCCACCAGTCCGAGCCGACTCGACCCGCTGCGGGCGTCTTCGCCTGTGGCTGCGACGACACAAAAAAAAACACCAGCCCATCCAGGAACGATGCCCAGACGAGTTGCCTTGACCAGGGATGTGGAGGAGCACGCAGTGTAAACAAAGGGTTGGGCAAGACGTCATACCCCAAGAGGGGGAGAATGGAGGAGGAATCGGAGGAGCAGGAGGTGGAGGAGGAGTAGGGAGAGGGGGAGGTGGATGAGGGAGGAGGAAGGAGGAGGAACAGGCAGATGATGATGAGGAGGAAGAGGAGGAGGAAAAGGAGGAAAAGGAGGAGGAAAAGGAGGAAGGCGAGCAGAAAGGTCAGAAACTTGTTGCATGCGTCTCGGAGTTTCTTCGGATTTCTTCCGAGAGTGTCGTGGAGTCCTCTTTGGGTGTCTTGCCTTGGGGTCTCTTGGCAGTCCCGGGGGCCTTTGAGGCGTCTCGAGTGCCCCTGGGGAGCCTCATGGTGCCTCTTGAGGCCTGCAGGGAGCCTCTTGGGGGGATCTCGGGGGCCTCTTGGGGACCTCCGGAGGCCTCTGGGGCACCTCTCGGAGCCGTTTTGGAGCACCCTTGGAAGCCATCTTGGAGCCATCTTAGAGGAGCTCGATCAAAGGAAGGGCCGTAGTGCATTAGGGTCCCCTTTCCAGGAGGCCAAAATGTGGCCAACAACTTCTTAGAATAAATGGTTTGGGCATTCTCGCCGAGGCCGCTCGGGTACCTTTACAGGGCATCTGGGGGCCTCTTTGAGGTCTTTCGGGGGCCTCTTGGGGGCCTCTTGGAGGCCTCTTGGGCGCCTCTGGGGCCCTCCCGGGCGCCTCTTGGGGCCGTCTCGAGGCACCCCTAGGGGCCTGGGGAGCCATCTTGGGGCCATCTTGGAGGAGAGCGATCAAGGGAAGGGGATCTTCCAACCGGGTCCCCTCCCAGCAGGCCAACATGTAGCCAGAACCTTGCATTCATGTTTTTTGGCGTTCTCGCCGAGTCCTCTTGGGGCGTCTTGGGTGCCTCAGGGGGGCCTCGCGGGTCGTCTTGGTGGTCTCTTGGGAGCCTCTTGGGAACATGTTGGAGGTCACTTGGGGCGCATCTGGGGGCCTCCTGGGCACCGGTCTTGGAGCCGGCTCGGGGCGCCCGTGGGAGCCTCGGGGGGCATGTAGGGGCCATCTTGGAGGAGATCGATCGAAGGAGGGGAGCTCCTCACTGAGGACCCCCCCCCCCAGGAGGGGAGGCCAAACTGCAGCCCATCCTTATTTAAGTCTAATGATTGGGGCCTTCCCGCCGAGGCCAACAAAGTCCCTCCGACACCTCGCGGAACGCCCCCCCCGCAAACCCAGGGGGAGGGGGCAGGGGGAGCTGTCAACCCCTGCCCGAACGGGAAGGGGGAGCATCGGCGGCGAGCGAGGGGGGAACGTGAAAAGGAGAAGGCCCTCTCAGGAGGGCCCTCTCAGAAGGCGGCGGGCCTTCTTAGCAACCCCCTGGCCTTCCGACAAGCCTTCTGTAGGCTTAGACAACCTCGCAGAAGGCCGGGAGATTTTTTCGAGCCTTCTGAGAAGGCCCGCCCCTCCTCGCTTCGCCCTCGGGCGCGCCGCCCCGACGATGGAAGAGGAAGCTCTCTCTAAACCGCTCACGCCCCAAGGAGCTCCTGGCATCGCTCGGACGTGTGCATTTTTGCTCGGCGGGGACCATCGAGGACCATCCTGGACCATCGAGCCAAAAAAACACGCACGAAACCAAGAAATGCACGGGAAATGGACGTCCGAGCGATACCGAGAGCTGGTGGGACTTCAGGTTAGCGGGCCGCTCCACCAGTCCTGGCCCACCACGCCTCGGCGCGAAAAACGCTGTCGGCTCCGCGTTCTCCCCAGGCGCCCACGTGCCGAGCTGCTCCCAAGAGCCGGCGGGGCGGAGCGGCACGCGCCATGTCCCAGACCCCCGACGACGTGCTTTGTTTCGCAGCGTCGACCCCCAGAGGTCTGGACCCTTTCCCCGGGACCGGTTCTTCATCCTGAGTCGTTGTTCTAAGCCTCCCGGATGGGGTCGGAGCAGATGGGGTCGGAGGATCAGCTCGGTATCGTCGATGCATCGGCGGTGCGGCTCGATGCGGAGCCCGATCTTCCCCACGCCGACGGCGGCGATGCATCGCGGGCGTCGCCGATGCATCGTCGATGCATCGGCGATGCATCGATGATGCATCGGCGATGCGGCGCGATCCTCCGACCCCATCTACTCGGAGCCCATCTAGGAGGCTCTGGCTTCTTGACGGCCCCGAGGCCCAGGAGGGACCCCCGGAGGCCCCCAAAAACAACGAGAAGCCTCCCGAGGAGGCTCTGGCTATTTGACGGCCCCGAGGCCTAGGAGGGGCCCCAAGAGGCCGAAAGCAATGAGAAAACCCTCTTGGGGCGGCTTCTGTTCGCCACCCGAAAAGGGGCCGTTGGGAGCCGCTCGCAGAACGCGCTCAGCGGGTCGACGGGGCCGCCGCCGCGGCACGCTGAGCGGAAGCTCCCCGGACGGCAGCCTCTCGGCGGCGAGCGAAGGGTGGAAGCGAGAAGGGGCGGGCCTTCTCGGGGGGGTCGCAAGTCGTAAGTCCTGCCTGTCCCTCTACAGGAGGAATGCTCCCAAATAGACACAGGTGGTCTGGGGGCCATTTTGGGAGCATGATTTGGCAATTTGGGGGCATTGCTTGATTATTCTTTTTTGTTCTTCCAAAATCCTCCTGTAGGAGGACAGGCCCAACTTAACGCAAGTCCCCCGACCTTCCGAGAAGTTCTCGCAGCCTCCCCCGAAGACAGAATACATGGATTCTCGGAGGGCGCGAGGGCTTCTGAGGAGGCCTGTCGCCTTCTGAGAGAGGCTTTTCTCTCCTTCTCGCTTCCCCCCCTGGCTCGCCGCAGGTCCTCCCCCAGGGAACCAGCCTTGCCCTCATCCAGTGACGCCGAGGATGCGTGGGCGCTGGAGATTTTGGAC